ACCGTGGCAGTAAGAGCGGAGACGGAGGACAAAGAGGCACGAGGGTGGGTAACAAGAGAGGCGAGAACACGAGAGAGAACAGGACGGTACGTGCGGTAGTAGTCAGTGATAGGGGTAGAGAGAGAAGCTGTGAGGGCCGACTCAGGAGGAGAAGGAAGCACAGGAGGAGCCGAACGAGACGGACTAGAACGTAACAAGACAGTTTGAAGGTCTGTGAAAGGAACAGGGGACGAGGGACGAGCACGAGGAGAGCGACGAGTAGCCCAAGTACGAGACGGAAAAGGAGAGGACAAAGGCAGAGAACTGGGGAAGACAGCAGGGGAGGAGTCAGGAGGAGGAAACGTGGGACCGTAGACAGGAGGAGAGGCGGAGGAGGGAGGAGAAGGAGAGGGGAGACCAAGGGTCCGAAGACCCGAGACAGGAGGAGGAAGTGGCTGCTGCTGCTGCTGCTGCGGCTGCTGCTGCTGCGGCTGCGGCTGCTGCTGGGACTGCTGCTCCTGCGGGTCCAGCGGCTGCTGCTGCTGCTGCTGCTCCTGCGGCTCCAGCTGCTGCTGCTGCTCCTCCAGCCGCTGTAACTCCCTCTCCTCTCTCTCCAACGCCAGCTGCTCCTCACGGGCACGGCGAACACGAGCCTGGTGCCTAGTCGGGTAGGGGTGGGGGGGCGGAGTAGTGTCCGGAGCAGCGGCAGCTCCAGAGTCCACCCCCGAAGGACCAGGCGCACCACCCCCAGAGGCAGCACTAACACCAGCTCCAGACCCAGGCTCACCAGAACCCGAAAGAGGCGCACCCTCACCCCCAGACGGAGCACCCCCAGTGTCCGCGCGACCAGCACCAGCTCCCGGAAGACAAGAGTCCTCTGCACCCACCGGCTCAGCTCCAACTCCAGCACCCCCAGAACCAGAAACCGGTACAGGAACAGGCTCGGCACCAACCTCTCGAGAGCTAGCACCTGCGGCACGCTGCGAGGAGGACTGTGGGGAGGGAGGCTGTACCGGAGGGGCTACCGAAGGAGGAGGGGTAGCCTGGGACACACCTGACGGGGCTGGACCAGGGGGGGGAGGCTGTACCGGGGGAGCAGGAGGGGGAGCGGCAGTCAGGAAGAGGGGGGGAGGAGGAACCGGGAGACCTCGACTGGGGTACCTGACGTAGTACGGGGTGGACTCCTCGAAACGGACGTCACGGGAGTCAAAGAACCGGTGAGAGGGAGGGTGGTAAAAGGTGAAGTCAGAGGAGGCCTCAGGAAAACCAAGGAAGACACAAGGAACGGCGCGAGGCGAGAGCTTGTCCGCAGAGGTGTCGCGGACAAGAGCCAAGCAACCCCAGACACGAAACCTCGACGCAACACCAGGGGACCCGGTCCAAAGACTGGTCGGCGAAGCCTCTGGCCGAGAGACGCGTGGCCAGAGGTTCAGCTGGTGCGCGGCGTACCGAACCGCGTAAGGCCACAGAAAATGGGGGGCACGGGCGTGAGTCAGGGAGGTGCGGGCAATCTCCATGACCAAGCCTATGCGGCGCTCAGCAACCCCATTCTGCTGTGGGGACTCTGGAAGCGTCCAGGACTGACGAATGCCCTGCTCGCGACAGAATCCAGCGAGAATGCCGGAGCGAAACTCACCCCCGCAGTCGGAGTGAAGACAGCTGACACGACGGCCACGAGTGTCCTCGGTGGTGAGCAACCACCTGATCAGCGTAGAAGTCACCTCAGACTTCTTCGCCAGGGGGAACACTGTGGTGTAGCGGGAGTAGTCGTCAACAACCACCAGAAAGAAACGCTCACGCTCAGGGCCAAGGCGAGAGGCGGGGCCCCAGACGTCCAGGTGAAGCGTCTCAAACGGCTCGGTGGCCGGACGAAGGGAGGAGGAGTGAGGGGTGGCGCGCAGCCGACCCTCGACGCAAGGACCGCACGGTGGTGCAAGGGACGGCGGCAGCGACGGCAAGACACGCGGGAGACCTAAGACCAGACGCTGACTAGACATAGCACGCAGACGTGGAAGAGAAGGGTGTCCCATCCGGTGGTGCCACAGAACGGTGGGGTGGGCAAGCGACCGGCAGGAGCAAGACGCAGCGACTGGACTGGACGCGACAACCTGAGGGGACGGAACCACCTGGTGAGACGCAGGGAGGAGACTAGGGGGAGGGACAGGAACTGGGAGTAGGGGCTGCTGCGACGGCGGCCGCTGCGGCTGCTGCCGCTACTGCGGCGGCGGCGACTGCTGCTGCTGCTGCTGCTGCTGCTGCTGCCGCTGCTGCTGCTGCTGCTGCCGCTGCTGCTGCTGCTGCGTCCGCTGCCGTGCACGCGGGCCAGTGTGAAGAGTGTAGAGACCGGAACCCGGCTCAGCAGCAAAGGTGGCCAGAGGCTGGTAAGAGTCCCCGTCAACACACACCGCAGTCTCCCCAGAAGGCTCAAACCACACACCCACGTGCTGACTCACGAGGGGTCGCACGCCCACCAAGTTCCGGGAGAACGAGGGGACATGAAACCCAGTGAGAGACCCGGAGGGAGCAGCAGGACACGGCAAAGTGGTAGTGTGACGCGCAGTGACTGGTCCCGAGGTGGGATCAGCCAGTGCCACAGAGACAGGCGCAGGAAGTGGCGTAAGTGTCGTGCTGTCACGAAAGAAGCAGTGCGAGGCTCCAGAGTCCAGCGTGAAAGCACTGACCAGGGGGGTGAAGGCGGCCACAAGGGTGGCCCCGGCGAGCACCTGTCAGAACCTGATAGGCGCAGGGAGGGTAAACAACACCACGCTGCGGCTGACGCGGCCCCGACCCCGAAGCCAGCTGCGGCCGCTGCTGCTGCGGAGGCTGCTGGGAGGAGAGGGGCTGCTGCTGCTGCTGCTGAAGCTGCTGCTGACGCTGGGCCCGGTACCACGCCGCTGCTCCACCCACCGGGGCTGGCAGTACAAGGGGCGACTGACGAACGCGGGCGTCGCCACCACCAGCAGTCGCAGTGGAGTCACCGGTCGCTGCACGAGACGTCTCTCCAGGCCCTGCACTCCCACCACCGCCAGTCGCAACGCCACCCCCACTACCTCCGCCTCCACCAACGCCGCCGCCAGCACCGCCCCTCTTGCCACCCCTACCGCGGGACCGCGACGAAGTCGTAACAGCAGCTGCGGTCGCGTCAGTAGCGGCAGTGGCGAGAGAGGCAGTAAAGGTGGGCAACTGCGGAACTGTGCACCCGTGGAAGAGCGGGGGGGGCACAGCACCAGAGGCAGCGGCGACGGAGCGGAGGTTGCTCTCGACGTCCTTGAGTGCAGACTCAAGGACGTCAACAGTGAGCTCACTAGGGTGCTTCAGGAGAAGCGCGTCACGAACGGAGGCAAGGCGGTCGGGGAGGCTAGTGGCGATAAAATAGATAGTAATCGCCATGGGAGGAGGAAGCAGTGCGAGCTGTGCCTCAGTGCAAGCAGCGCGGTAACTAGAGTCGAGCGAGCGGAGGTGAGCAATCAAGTCAGCAGAGCGCTCAAATGAGGCGAGGTCAGGGAACAGGAACGGGAGGAAAAGGCGGCCAAGAGAGACAGCAGCAGGAGTGGAGTAGCGGGCCTTAATCGCAGTCAGGTACTCAGCAGCAGTGCGAACCTGAGCAAAGTGAGCCTCCTCAGACTCAGGGAGGAGGGTGCTGAGCGCGATGCAGGCCGCAGCGTCACGCGACGTCCAAGCTGTCAGGTCAGCGCGCTGGCTAGCGAAGCGAGCTCTAGCGGCGTCGTCAGGGGCAGGACCTAAAGGCGTAGGTTCGGGGGGCGCAGGGAGGGCACCAGTAGCGTGCGCCCAGAGGGTCTCGCCTGACTGGACCTGACTCTCTAACTGACGGCGAGCGCGCATAAGCCAGAGTGAAAAGTCAAGAGGTCTACCGTCAGCGTCGAAACGAAGTACACGTGGAGTCGCCATAGTGAAAACTAACGGAAAAGCGGTGGCAGGAAACCCTAAACGAGGTGGCGTGGCGAAACTCGGGTGGGAAAGGGCGAAACGGGAAACCCTAAACGAGGCACAGGCGCAGCTAAACGGGGGGGCGTTAAGGGGCAGCCGTACGGGGGCTAAGGGCAGCCGCGCGGGCGCGGGGGCGGGCGTTAAGGGGCAGCCGCGCGGGGGCCGACGCGACGAGCAGCGAAGGCGGGCGCCGCGGCGACGGGCGCAGGCTGCGGGCGCGACGTCGGGCGCCGCGGCGGGCAGCGACGGCGGGCGCCGCGGCGACGGGCGCAGGAGCGGGCGCGACAGCGGGCGACGGGGGAAGGCGCAGCGGCGGCGCGCGTAAGGGGGGGACGGGCGACGGGACGACGGGCTGCAAGGGGGGAAACGCGACTCGACGGGCAGCGGGGGGAAAAACGCGACTCGACGGGCAGCGAGGGGAAAAAGCGACTCGACGGGCCTCGGAGGGGGAAAACGCGACGGGCCAGCAGGGGGGAGGAATGTTGCTACGCTACTCGAGTAGGGGATCGGCGGAACGGGCGGTAACGAAGGAACGGGACGAGAGCGGGCCGGCGCTAGGCTCGGGCAAGACGTGCGTAAGTAATACGAGAGAGGGAGACAGGCTCGGGCGATACGAACGAGGTCGGGAGGAACGGGATCCTACAGGATCCTAACCTAGGTGATACCATGTCAGAATCGGAAGTGTTGGTTCATTGATGGTGGTTGGGGTACAAGTAGCAAACCCTAACATACGTACCCCCTAAGACAAACCTCACTACAGGCTACCAACATTTGACATGATTGACTTGAATATCAGCGTAAATGCACCCAACGACCCCGAATTTTCAGTATGTAGCCCCAATTCAATCTGAGGGACTCCCTTCCTCCTGAAAAGGCTTGCATCTCCCTCCCCTCCCTCCTCGTCCTCCTTTCCCGGGTCACTCTCATTGTCTTGGTGCCTCTCCTCGCCCCACCCATCCACCCCAACAATGCTGTATTACTTCGTGCTCTCTTTTGTTTTTCCCCCCTCTCTCCCCTCCTCGTTTCCACCACTTCCTATCTCCTCTCCTCTTCCTCCACTACCCTCTTCTCATATGTGCTGCTTCCATCCTAACCTCCTACTCATCGTCCTCCCATTCTTCTTGGCTTCCCTTTCTCCCTTTCCACCTTTCTCCATTCACTTCCTCCTCTTCAATCTCCTCATTCACTCTATTCACATCGATTTCACTCTCCTACCTTTCCCTATTTTCCTCCTCCGCCTTCTCCCCTTTCAATTCCTTGTCCTGTTCCCCAATCTCCCCCACTTCCTCCTTCTCCCGTTCCCCACTCTCCCTCTCTTCCTCCTTCTCCCGTCCCCCACTTTCCCTGTCCTCCTTCTCCCGTTCCCCACTCTCCCCCTCTTCCTCCTTCTCCCGTCCCCCACTTTCCCTGTCCTCCTTCTCCCGTTCCCAACTCTCCCCCTCCCCCTCACCGTCCCGTTTCACACTCTCCCCCTCCCATTTCTCACTCCCCCCCCCCCGCTCCCCCTTCTGTTTCCCACCCTCCCCCTCCCCCTCACCGTCCCGTTTCCCACTCTCCCCCTCCCGTTTCCCGCTCTCCCCCTCCCCCTCCCCCCCCCTCCCGTTTACCGCTCTCCCCTTCCCCCTCCCCCTCCCCCTCCCCCTCCCCCTCCCCCTCCCCCTCCCCCTCCCCCTCCCCCTCCCCCTCCCCCTCCCCCTCCCCCTCCCCTTCCCCCTCGTCCCTCTCTGTCAGTTCCGCCAGTCTCAGCAGCAGCTGCTGCTCTTCAGGCGGTAAAGCTGGGGGAAGAAGGAGGGACAGTTTGGAGTTAGCCAGAGGGGGGAAGGAAGAGGGTATAAGAAAAGCGGGAAATTGGGCTCTTCATCGAAATACCCCAGTCAGTTTCGGTTTTGCAAAGGAAATTGCGTGCTGACGGGTGCGGATTAGAGTTTGACATTGTAAGACGAGAGTAGTTTGAGATGCATCAGTTGGTTGATTTGAGTGAAGGAAGAAAAAAGTTTGAGATGCTGACGCTCTTGAAACAGGCTCGGACTGACATAGCAGCTGGCATTGCAAGAGAGGTTAGTGTAGATGAACCATGGGATAGGACACTATGTGGCAAGGCATAATGGCATGGCATAATCGCATGGCATAAAAATGACCACTCACCATTGATGGGGTTCGGGACCTGATCGATGCGCACATGCATCATGTGCCGTTCCATGCATATCCATTACCCATGCCATCCATAAGCCATGCACGCAATCATCACCATGCATATCCATTACCCATGCCATACGCCAGGCACAAATGCCATGCCATACCATACCATGCACCCATGCCATGCCATACCATGCACCCATGCTATGCCATACCATGCACCCATGCCGTGCCATACCATACACCCGCCAAAAGCAGGAGAACAAGGATACAGAAGCTGATCTCAAAAAGGACCATTGCGACCAGAAGGAATGAGCAACCAGCATGGCAATGCATATTCCACTCTATGTGAATTAGGGCGTGTGTGATTTTTGCAAACCTTACAAAGTTCGAACTCAAACCGTATTGCACCATGGCAAAAATCTTCTATATGTATCCTACCGTAACGAACCGTTATAAAAGTTCGAACTTTGACAAGTTCGGAAAAAAATCACACACGCCCTTATATTACTGAAGAGCAAATCCTAAACCCTGGATGGCAAGAGCGCCATGAGAAAGAGAAAGGGATTTCTAAGAACAGCTGTTTTACATCTTCTCGAATTTTAAAGCATGACACAAATGGGAATTACAGCAGAGGGCATGAGCAAAATAATGCCACGTGACCACACAAGCCACGTCACATCACCTGTATTTCATCCTTAAATGTCATGCTGGCTCCTGAAATGTCGATATAGATGCGCTGAACCACGGGTGGGACTGCAGGAATGCAATTACAAGCAAGGTGGATACGTTATTAGAGTGAATATGGAGTTACAAGGACTAATAAATGGGGAAATTTTGAACGAAATAATCAACTCTTACCTCTGAATGACTCACATAGACCATTCTCACTCCCTCCATCCCATACCCTGTATTCTAAACCCTTGCCCTGTACTTTAAAGCATTCGTTCTCAGAGGTGCATGTGTTGATAGCTACCAAAGCTATTTCAAAGTCTCCCCTCCCAGATTCTTGGCTCACCATAGGTGTTATCTCTTCGCACTCTTTCCACCTTAAGCATCTGAAACAGCCGCTCGCACACATGCACAAACATACATGTGGTGCGCGCACACACACACACGCGCGCGCACACACACACGCACACACACACACGCACACACACACGCACACGCACGCACGCACGCACGCACGCACGCACACACACACACACACACACACACACACACACATATTAATACCCGCACACATGCACAAAAGCATACTCATACACGTGCACACGCATGCAAACAAGGCAGGGGAGGGGAAGGGGAGGGGGAGATGGGGCGTGATGGGAATATGGTGAGGAGGAATGAGGGGCGGAGGGATGGGAAAAGAGGGGAGAGAGGGACAGGGAGGATAGGCAGTGAAAATTGTCACAATGAGTTCCGCGGATTACCATTGCACTGTGCATGTGTGTCTCCCATCTCCTTTCATACCTCTCATCCTCCTCATGTCATCTCATCCCCACCATCCCTCCCATCCCTTCCCATCCCTGCTCCTCCCCCCTCCCCCCATCCCATGCCCCACAACAGTCCCGAACGCAAAGCTCCCCAGACCTTGCAGGAGAGGTGAGGGCTACAACAGAAGGTGAGGGCTGCAACAGAAGGTGAGGGCTGCAACAGAAGGTGAGGGCTGCAACAGAAGGTGAGGGCTGCAACAGAAGGTGAGGGCTGCAACAGAAGGTGAGGGCTGCAACAGAAGGTGAATCCCACTTCACCTCATCCTCCGCTCATCCCCCCTTATCCCCCCTCCTCTCCCCTCCCCTCATTTCCCCTCACTCCCTCCCCTCTCACATGCCTCCCATCCCTCAGATCAGTCTCGGGTGCAAGCCTCCCCAGGCTGCGCAGCAGCAGAGGGGTTGAATCCTCTTCCCTCCCCGTCCTATCCATCCACCCTCATCCCGCTAATGCCTCCCATCCCTCACATCAGTCTCGGGTGCAAAGCTCCCCAGGCCGCGCAGCAGCAGAGGGGAGGGCTCCAGAGGGGGGTGGATACCGCTCCCCTCCCCATCCTCCCCCTTCCTCACCTCTCGCCCCTTTCCTTCCCATCCCTCCCATCCCTCTAACCCCTCCCATCTCTCACATCAGTCTCGGGTGAAAAGCTCCCCATGCCACGCAGCAGCAGAGGGGAGGGCTCCAGAGGGGGGTGGATGGACCGTCCCTCCCCATCCTCCCTTCCTCCATATCTCCCATCCTCCTTTCCCTCCCTTTCGTCTCTTCCCTCCCATCCCTCAACCCCCTCCCACCCCTCATCCCCCTCCCATCCCTCACATCAGTCTCGGGTACAAAGCTCCCCATGCCGTGGAGCAGCAGAGAAGAGGGCTCCAGAGGCGGGTGGACCAGCAGAGGTTCGGCTGGAATGAACGAAGGGGGGAGAGTGGGTGGAAGGGGAAGAGGAGTGAGGCGAATCAGCAGAGGAGAGTATTGCAGAGGGGAGGGCTCCAGACGGGGGTGAATCAGCAGAGGTTCGGCTGGAACGAGGGGGGATGAAAGGGTATGGATGGATGGATGGATGGATGGATGGATGGATGGAAGGATGGATGGATGGATGGATGGATGGATGGAAGGATGGATGGATGGATGGAAGGATGGATGGATGGATGGATGGATGGATGGATGGATGGATGGATGGATGGATGGATGGATGGATGGATGGATGGATGGATGGATGGATGGATGGATGGATGGATGGATGGAGGGATGCAACAAAAGGGTGGGAAAGGGCACTGGGATCGCCAGGCCTAGCAACAAACGGGAGGGCTCCAGAGGGGGATGGATTGATCAGCAGCGGGTTGGTTGTCGGGAGAAGGGATCCGGAGAGGGAAGGAGGGGGTTGAAAGGGGGGAATGGGTGGGGTGCGAGTGAAAGGGAGGAGGCGTGGATGGATGCGCTCAGACAAGTGACATGGGCTTTGGAACCTTCAGGCCTCGCAGAACAGAGGAGGGGAGAGGAAGGGGGCGGTGGGGCATGAAAGGGAGGAAGGGAGGAGGGGCGGGTGGATGGATGGATGCACTCAGATGGGTGAAATGGGCTCTGGAACCCGTTTCACCCATCTGATTAGCCTGGGTGAAACGACACATCTAGCAGCAGAGTGGAGGGCTCTGGAAGGGAGTGAACGGTGGGGGATCGGCTGGAGATCGGCGTACCTGCGCGCCAAGCGCCCGAAATTCCGCCGTCTCCGCCTCTCCGCCACATCAGCGCAACCCCCAGCAGCGCCAGCAGCGCGCACGCGCATCCCAGGGCTGTCCGCGCCACTGCAATCCGCCTCCGCCGCTTCCTTCCGCCACCCGTTCCCCTTCCGCTGCGCGTTCCCCTTCCGCCGCTCGCGCCCCTTACCGCGGGCGCTGCGCCACTTCCCGCCGCTGAGAGCTCAGCGCGGCCCCCTCTTCCCCCTCCGCTCCTCCCCGCTTTCCCCGCCTCTGGACATTCCGCTCCTTGCCGCGGCGCTGCTGGCCCTTCTTCTGGTCCCGCCGCTGGCGGCTCTTCTCCGCGCGCCCCCGCGATTCCCGCGGAATGTTCGACGTGCGCGGAGGAAAGTGATTGGTGCAGAGGCGGGTTCTCAGGGTCGCCGTAAGTAATGGCACTCATGCGCGCGGCGAAGAAAGGAGTTTGGCGATTCTGTAGGTCCCAGTGCGACGTGGGCGATGTGTACTCTATGTAACCCTGCGCAGAGAAATACAAACCAGACAGTAATTTCGCTAACGAGTACGATTCGATAACATTTAGTGTTGTGCTGTAGACTAACGTAACCAGGACAAAAAAGGGAGGGGTGACGTTTGGCCTGAGGTTCGTATCTGCGCCACATTCGTTTCCGATATGTCATAAAGAAAGAGGTGACACAACTGAATTTCTAGTATGAACTAGTAATGTTCTGAATGACAATTTTTGTCAAGTCAAAACTGACCCATCGTGACATTTGGGTCAGCTGCTCGCAAAAAGGGGATCAAATTGCTGCCTCCTGCAGCATCTGTGTATGGCAGCAAGAACCGAACTCCTATGATTGGTGAAATTCGACATTTACAATAACTATTTACCTCTTGTATGCTTGTCGGGATGAGGGGCAGCTACATTACTGCTTTTGATGAGCAAAATCACATTGCCTTCCTACGAGGGTACTACAGAGCCAATCAGAGTCACCCACACTCACTGGCAGAATGAACTGCGACGATTGGTTACCGGGCCTCTGGACTTCACGAAGTGTTGCGAGACGTTGATAGCTCGATATGGATCAGTCCAGGGCGTGTCCGAAGTGAACGTCAACAACCCCGACATCCGTTTTGGGGATGTCGGTAAATCCTAACGGTTGAAATTCTCGATCCAAAGGGGTTTGATTTACCAAAACCTCGGCACATGTCGGAGGTTCACCTCGGACACGCCCTCAGAGGTTCCCTCGGTTCCACCGTGCGACTGAAGGATTCACTCCCCACGCCCCAAGATGTGCTTTCTTGCAGCAGCAATGGCACCGCCTTAGTTTTCTGGCCTCTTCCCTTGAATATTCTGTAATCTTATTTTCCCATCTCCTCAGTCAACAATCGAACCTACTCCCCGTTTCGCCGCACTCTGCTCTAGGATCCATTCTCCTGGGTCACGTGATTGAAGTCACATTCGCCACCTATTCTCACATACCTCGTGCCTAAATATCCGGCCAACGAGTAGAATCCCTTTTCCAGCTTCTTACCAGGTCATTTTCTGTGCAAATTACGACTTCGCACGGGGCAAACGTGGTGTAGGGAACACCGAGGCCAGTAAAGCGTGTGTGGATACCAGATTCCTCACTTACTACCACTTGTACAACCAACCACCTAAATGGATGTACTTGGGCCCACATCCTGCTTCGGCAAAGCAACAGGCGTGTTCCCCTCAGGCCTTCACCAGTCTCAGCGGCTATTAGTACACTGTACACTACACTGTACTCTTGTATTCTTAGGATGTGTGGGCCCCCTAGGAGATGATTGGGCCGTGAAACACGCAGCCGATAGTATCGTAGTCTGATCCGATTTTCCCGACAGTATCGCACACGCTGTATTGTAGTTGACTCGTAAGCTGTATTTTACGGCACCTGCTGTCGGCTCTCAGACTGAGGTTTGCCATCGAGGTTGCCTTGCCGCGTCGCCGCGGTATTCCCGAGGATTCGACTGGCCGTCATTGGCGCAAATGAAGCAGACTGCTTTTACAATGAAAATGAGACCGAGTAGCGGTCAGCCGCTGCTTATGCTCCCACGAATATTCGCAGTCACCCGCTGCTTACATATTACCTCCTGTTTTTCCCTCCGAACATCATCGACGGATCTCGAACCCGACTAGTAGTACTATCCCTGATTTCGAGATCTGGACCACACGCACGAACGCCCTCTATCAGTTTCCTTCGCTTGCGGACGCAAAATCGAGTGGTATTACTACAACAAACCAGCGCGTCTTGCGGGCATGAGCGCCATTGCAGTATCGCGCGGAAATCGCCACGCGGTTTGCCACTTCGACGCGGCAATCGCGATCTCGCCAGAAATGCTTCCCCCAGTCGACGCCGTTGAGAAGCCTTCGCCGAACCTTCCAACCTACGCTCCGGTGATCAGAGCCGTCGGTCAGATCACAACGCCCCCGCCATCCCCGCCGCGATTCGCGGATCTGTACGGCTCCCCGCAAAATCACTCCGAGTCGCCGTCGAATCCGGACTTTCCCCAAGACTCTTCCGCGTCGGATATTTCCAGCCTCTCACGCAAGTCGGACTTCCCGCGCGCTCCGCACCCGGCGGTTTCCCCGCTAGCCCCCCACCAGCCGGACTCTCCGCACGTCGCGCCCGCGGCATGCGCAGAACCGGTGCGAGGTGCGCTAAGCCGCCGCGATTTGCGCCGACACCGCCGCGTCGCGTCGTCCCCTCAACCCGGACCGTCTGAGCCGGGAGAAGGAAGTTACGCGGAAACTCAGCGTCTGGTAACGTCCGAGATCGACGGTCGAAGTATCGTGCGGCCCCGCCACAACCGCCGCTCTTCCGCCGGCGGCGCCAGCGGCGGAAGCACCGAGACGGGCAGCAGGGAAAACGGCAGGCATTGCGGCGACTTGTACGGCAGACAAGAGGCTGTGCGGCTGGTTTCGGCCGGGCAACCCACAGCAGCCGTCTCGGCTTTTTCACCCAAGTCTCCCTCGTTTGTGTCACTCTCGAGAAAGTCACCTTTGCCAAAGTCACCTTCACCTCAACCGCCGCCTCGCGGTTCGCCGCCGCGTCGGCTCTCCCATTCGAGCGACGCCATCCCGCTACAACGAGGTGGCTGTAGCGCGGAAATCCCGCTACAACGGGGCAGACGTAGCGCCGAGTTCCCGCTACAGTCGGAGAGAGTACCGCGGAAATCGTCATCGGCGGAGATATCCTCTCCGCGCGTCTTTCCCGCGGAGCTACCCCCTCCTCCCTCTCCGCGCGGTTTTCCCTCGGAGCTACCCCCCTCTCCTTCTACTACTCCGCGCGAAGGGGCCTCCCGCGCACCTCCGCGATCCCCGGCGGTCGGCAGGCTCGCGGCGGCTCGAGCGTGGAATAAGATGATGGCGATGCCGCCGCTTAGCACGGATCTGTCAGCGCCGCCGGCGGAGCTACTATCCTCTTCTCCGCGCGGCGTTACTACTACCGCTAGTACTACCAGCGGACGTACTAGAAGCACTTTCCTTCCGCTGTATCCTGAAGTTGACGCGCCTCGGCACTCGTCGGCGGAGCTTTCTCCGCACGGCGCAACTATTACCACTCCGCATCAGCGGTCCCCGCTCTCCCGTTCCCCGCATCCGCGCTCCCCGCTTGCGCAGGCTTCTCCCCCGTCCGCGCGCGCCTTCCCCATGGATGCGGGAAGCGCCGAGAATCTTCTCCGCATCGCCCGGGATGACGGCATTGGGAGCAGCAGCAGCACGAGCAGCAGTAGCGACAGCAGCGGCGGCAGCGGCAGCAGCAGGAGCACCAGCAGCGACAGCAGCATTAGCAGCAACAGCAGTAGCGACAGCGGCAGCAGCAGCGGCGGCAGCAGCAACAGCAGGCGATTAAAACGCGAGCAGCAGGTGCCGTTGGACGGAAGCGCCAGCGCGGAGACCGTCACGGCCGCGGAAGCCGCCACAACGGCGACGACGGCGGCGGCGGCGGCGGAAGCGGAGGCGATCGCGAGGGCTGCGCCGGACATTCCGCTGGATCTGCTGGAGTCCGCGCGGCGGCTGATGGCGGAGTGCGAGGCGCGCGGAGTGCGCTGGGAGCTGCTGAACGCCGCGGGCGTCTTAAGCGGACGCTTTGCGGAGTGCGCTGCCCGCGGAAGCTCCGCGGAGCATGTCGCAGCCACGTCCCCCATCCCCGCAGGGCCTCCGCCAACCGCTCTTCGCGCTACTCCCGCCCGCGCTATTCCCGTCTCCCGCCTGCGCCGCGGACGCGTGTCGTCCTGCTCCTCTCTCCCCATCTCCGCCGACGCAACCTCCGCGTTCCCCTCTTCCCCGCTGTCTACTTCCCCGCTTTCCCCATCCCCGCTTTCTCCCCTTTCCGCCGCCTCTGCTTGCGTTCTCCCCGCGTCCGCCGCGCCTTCGCCCGCGAAACCCGGCCCCGCGGAAAGCCCGTCACGGAGGGAACGATCAGGTGCGCAAGGTAACGCGCGCGCGCAAGCTATCCTTGCCTTGGCCGCTGCAGCAGCAGCAGCAGCAGCAGAAGCAGAAACAGAAGCCGCAGCAGCGACAGCTTATGGTTGAGGGATCCAAACGCGATCGCGTGAAGCAGCTTCGCGTTTTAGGGAAGCACGGAAGCTTCGAGCAGCTCTCGGGATTTTTTTCCAATGTGCTCTCGATCTCCCGAGGCAGCAGCGGGAATGGCTCCACCAATAGCGGATGCAGTAGCCCCTGCCCGAGCAATCCGGGCAGCTATCTGGAAAGAATCTCTGCTGGAGGGAAAAGTTTGAAGCCGTCGGATTTCGTTCTCAAAATGCCCTACGAGGATATCAAGGCTCGTTATTCGCTTGGGAAGAAGGAGATTGGGGAGGGCAGGTTCGGATCAATCCGAACCTGCTTGGAGCGGAGCTCTGGCAACTTCTATGCCTGCAAGACCATCTCCAAGAAAATTATAGAGGTGATTATCAATCTCTTGCTGTAGTCCCACCAACCTTAACCTGTGGTTAATGCCTGTAGCATCCGCTCTAACTTACCTTTTTCCTCTTATACCTCGTTTCTGTATCACGACGCACCTTAGATTACCCCCTTCCCTCATCAATCTCATCATGTTTTTCTTAATTTCCACTTTTTTGTTGCAGACTCCTGAGGAAGCAGAGGATGTACGGCGTGAGGTGATGTTTCTTGCGACGCTAAAAGGCCACCCCTACATCGTCACACTCAAGGAGGCACTAGAAGACAAATCTGCCATCCACCTCATCATGGAGCTCTGTCCGGGCGGTGACCTCTTCGAGAGAATCAAATCCCGAGCCCAACTCACCGAGCCCGAAGCGGCATCAATTCTCCGGCAACTTCTAGTAGCCCTGATCCACTCCCACTCCTTGGGAATACTCCACCGCGACGTGAAGCCCGAAAACATCCTCCTTTGTAGCCCCGCCAGCTGCTCCTCTATAAAGCTCATCGACTTTGGAGTGGCTACAGTGCTGCCGGAGGGGGCTCAGTGCAATGAGGCGGCAGGAACTCCAGAATACATGGCACCTGAAGTGTACGATGAGAAATACGGTTTCGGCGCCGATGTGTGGGGTGCTGGGGTTTCGCTCTATGTGATGCTTTCAGGCATTCCACCCTTTTGGGAGTCGACGAACCGGAGTTTGGAGCAGGCGATTAGGAACAAGAAGTTGTCGTTTAAGCACTGGAAATGGGCTGACGTGTCGGTGGAAGCGAAGGAGCTTATATCGAGGATGCTGGAGAAAGACCCGAGCAAGCGCATCACGGCTCAAGAGGCGCTAGGTGAGGGTTTGCCCTGGGCTTGGATTTATATTTCTTCTCTGTCACCCTCACATGCCATCCCACCCTCACATGCCATCCCACCCTCACATGCCATCCCACCCTCACATGCCACCCTACGTTCAAAGAAACGTGGCATTGGCTTTGCTTCAGACATGTATCTCATCAGTGCGTGTATCTCATCAGTGCGTGTATCTCATCAGTGCGTGTTCTCATCAGTGCGTGTTCTCATCAGTGCGTGTCCTCATCAGGCCCTTCTTTCCCCCGTGCTTCTGTTCGTTTCTTCCCCCTCTACAGCGCATCCTTGGATCACCAAGCTCGCTCCTACTGCGGCTTGATTCATCTGAAGCTCACTTCAAGCTAACTGCAGCTGCAACGTGATTCACTTCAAGCTCGATTCAACTTCGGCTTTAACTGTTTCAAGCTTCACGAGATTCAAGCGTCCGAGTCTTGGGAGTGACGTGACAGCTGAATAGAAGCTGCAACAGCCGTCGCCGTGTGATGAGTCGATTTTTAAGTCGACTTAAAAATCGATTCAAGCGTCAGAGTCTTGGGAGTGACGCGACAGCTGAATAGAAGCTGCAACAGCCGTCGCCGTGTGATGAGTCGATTTTAAAGTCGACTTAAAAATCGATTCAAGCGTCAGAGTCTTGGGAGTGACGTGACAGCTGAATAGAAGCTGCAACAGTCGTCGACGTCCAACCCATAGTGAGCATATGCTGGAAGGAACGATGCTGCTTGCTGATACGCTGTGGTGCCTTAGCCGGAACATGAGGACAGCTCTCACCGGTTGAAATCCACTTTTCTGCCCAGCCTCTCCTGGGACCTCGGCTGCTGATGCTCTTCTTTCCCTTGTGCTGCGAATGGCGTCCCCTTTTTTCTCTTCTGCTTTTCCATCTTTTTCTCCGGCCACTACGGGCTTGGTAAGCAGGACACCCCGAATCACTGGGTTTTGCCGGCTCAGAGCTGTAAGGCTCGTGTGCTGCTGTACAATACTGTACAATACTGCTTCCCCACCCAGTGATAGTAGTAGGCAGGTTACTAGAAAGCTCAGATCGAAGGGCTTCATAAATGGCACTAGTAGTGTAGTATTTTTTGCCTCCCCCTCGTGGCATTTTACCTGTAGCATTTGATGTCCATTGTTGTTTGCTACGGTACATGCAATTCCACCGCTAGCTTGCATTTGATGAGAATGCTCCTGTTGTTTGACGGTGCAGCGGAACTGCGCATGTATCGGCACCTGATGTTCATCTTTTTGCCACTTTACGGTAGTAGAGGTTGAAAAAAATGCTCAAGTCACTCATTATTTTCCAGTGGTTGCCCATACAACATCAAACTAGCTTTGTTCTGCAGAGCTGTAAAAACCTGTTGCACGATAGTATCCCGTTACAACATCGTTCCAAGCATGGCAATATCCAAAATACGGTGCCCAATGTCATGTCGACACAACCCCACCCCATCCCACGTCAGTCATAATCGCACCACTCACAACCACACCATTCCCAACCGCAGCATTTACAGCCACACCCCTCACAACCACACACCACATCCGGAATCAACAGACACAATCATCAAGCATTGTGCATATGAGAAGGAAAGCATGGAAGGGGGAACAGAAGGGGGTATAGAAACACGTTGGGTAAGTTTGGGTCTGATGCCAGTTTGAGCACTGTGGGAACAAAAAGGTAGCTTGGAAAGCTAATATAAACGAGAGAAGCGACAAGATGGGAACTGGAAGTAACACGGAGTGCGCTCAGATCAGATGAGTGAAGAGTGGCAGTGCAACACAAGTTTAGATGAGAAGGAGCAGTATGGAAGGGAGGAGTGAAATTGCACCTATTGTACTAGGGAGTCACTAACCTGGTCAACGGCACTGATAGGAGCAGACTCGTTATAGAGCAATCGCTGCTGCACCGAGAGTAGCTCTGTCTGCATGCGCCACACGAGGCTCATATCCAGCAGCATCACGTCCAGGCGCATTGCTGTCTCGTGCACGTCCATGGGGTCTATATTAAGAGAGAAAGCGCTGCAGGGTGGCACCGAGGGGAAAGCGGGAAGAAGGATAGATGGCCCTGATTGTAGCTCAGTATGCATCCTGTCTCGAACTGCACTGCACTGAGTGTAGCTCGGTCTGCATGCGCCACACAAGGCTCATATCCGGCAGCATGATGTCGAGGCGCATGGCTGTTTCATGCACGTCCATGGGGTCTATATTGAGAGAGAAGGCGCTGCAGGGTGGGTGGGGGAGGGGAGGGGAGCTCAATCATACATGAACCTTCAAGCAACGTGAGACCTCAAGGGCAGAGAGAGAGTGCTTCTAATGCACCTGAATGGTAAGCAGTGCAGCCGGGTGTGGCCCCAGTGGTGGAAGAAGGTGAGTGGCATGCATTCTTCGACCACGGCTTGAGCCATGCACACCATCCCGTGCCAGTGGGAGGCATAAGCCATACATCGTCCAACAAGCAGGGAGAGTGCTTTTGACACACCTCAAGGCAAGGGAGAGTTGCTCAGATGCACCTGAATGGCAGCGAGTGCAGCCAGGGGTGGCGGTAGTGGTGGAAGAAGGTGACTGGGATGCACCCGTTGACCACGGCTTGAGCCATGCACACCATCTCGTGCCAGTGGGAGGCGTCTGGAAGGCACACACAGAACACTGCTCCCTGTATTGCTTCCGCAGCTGCATGTGGGGGTAGCTGGGAGGGTGCAGTGGGGAAGGATAGGAGCATAGAGGTGGGAGCGAGGGGAGGAGAAGGGATAGCAACATAGGGGTGGGTTTGAGCCATGCACAGCATCTCGTGCCAGTGAGATGCGTCGGGCAGGCACACACAGAACACTGCTCCCTGCATCGCTGCTGCTGCTGTGTGGGGGGGTAGCTGGGAGGGTGCAGTGGGGACGGGTAGGGGCATAGAGGTGGGAATGAGGCGCGGGAAAGATAGGCACACAGAGGCGGGCTTGAGCCATGCACACCATCTCGTGCCAGTGAGACGCGTCAGGCAGGCACACACAGAACACTGCTCCCTGCATCGCTGCTGCTGCTGCTGCATGGGGGGGTAGCTGGGAGGGTGCAGTGGGGACAGGTAGGGGCATAGAGGTGGGAATGAGGCGCGGGAAAGATAGGCACACAGAGGCGGGCTTGAGCCATGCACACCATCTCGTGCCAGTGAGACGCGTCAGGCAGGCACACACAGAACACTGCTCCCTGCATCGCTGCTGCTGCTGCTGCATGGGGGGGTAGCTGGGAGGGTGCAGTGGGGACAGGTAGGGGCATAGAGGTGGGAATGAGGCGCGGGAAAGATAGGCACACAGAGGCGGGCTTGAGCCATGCACACCATCTCGTGCCAGTGAGACGCGTCAGGCAGGCACACACAGAACACTGCTCCCTGCATCGCTGCTGCTGCTGCTGCATGGGGGGGTAGCTGGGAGGGTGCAGTGGGGACAGGTAGGGGCATAGAGGTGGGAATGAGGCGCGGGAAAGATAGGCACACAGAGGCGGGCTTGAGCCATGCACACCATCTCGTGCCAGTGAGACGCGTCAGGCAGGCACACACAGAACACTGCTCCCTGCATCGCTGCTGCTGCTGCTGCATGGGGGGGTAGCTGGGAGGGTGCAGTGGGGACAGGTAGGGGCATAGAGGTGGGAATGAGGCGCGGAAAAGATAGGCACACAGAGGCGGGCTTGAGCCATGCACACCATCTCGTGCCAGTGAGAGGCGTCAGGCAGGCACACACAGAACACTGCTCCCTGCATCGCTGCTGCTGCTGCTGCATGGGGGGTTAGCTGGGAGGAGGGATTGGGGGAAAGAGGGATAGAATGGGCACAAGAAGTTGACTGGGATGCAGTTGATGTGGTGGCCACGGCTTGAGCCATGCACACCATCTCGTGCCAGTGGGACGTGTCAGGCAGGCACACACAGAACACTGCTCCCTGCATCGCTGCTGCTGCTGCTGCTGCGTGTGGGGGTAGCTGGGATGGGTGAGGGGAGGAAAGGGGGTTGGTGGAATGGGCACAGGAAGGTGATTGAAACGCAGCCATCAACAAGTAAGCAGCTAGTAAGCAGTTAGTAACCGATTGTGGTCACCTGCACTGCAGCAAGGCCCAACCCATGGGGCTGCTCACATGATAAACGTGTTGTTTCAAGATGTCTCGAAACAGCGCTTTTATCATGCAGCAAGGCCCAACCCATGGGGCTGCTCACATGATAAACGTGTTGTTTCAAGTTTTGAGGCGCCTCAAAAGTCGTCACGTGATAAACGTGTTGTTTCAAGATGTCTCGAAACAGCGCTTTTATCATGCAGCAGCGCCCACCCCTTGGGGTTGGTCGCCCCCACCATCTCCATAAACGCCCCTCGCACTGCCTCCCGGTCAAAACCAAAGAAGCATGCAGGGAAAATTTGGACGCTCTCACTTGCAATGCCTCTCATCTCACCTGCAGCATCGCCCACCCCTTGGGGTTGCTCGTCCCCATCATCTCCATGAACGCCCCTCGCACTGCCTCCCGGTCAAAACCAAAGAAGCATGCGGGGAAAATTTGGGCGCTCTCACCTCCAATGCCTCTCATCTCACCTGCAGCAGCGCCCACCCCTTGGGGTTGCTCGTCCCCTCTATCTCCATAAACGCCCCACGCGCTGCCTCTTGGCCAAACCCATAAAAGGATGCAAGGAACATTTGGGCGATCTTACCTGAAGCAGCGCCCACCCCTTGGGGTTGCTCGTTCCCATCATCTCCATGAACGCCCCTCGCACCGCCTCTCGGTCAAACCCTCCCCCTGCTACGCCTATCCCCTCATCCCTTCTTGGCATGTCCTCCCTCCAGCCTTCAGCTTTTCCGGATTCCCCTGCTGCGACTGCTTTCCCTGCCGCCCCTGTTTCCCCTGCTGCCCCTGCTTCCCGTGCTTCCCCTGCTCCTCCTGCTGCCCCTCCTTCCACCGCTGCCCCTGCTACCCCATCTGCAGCTGCAACATCATCGCCTTCACCCTCTTTCCAGAGCCCGTGGCGATCCCAATAACCACCACTGACACTGCCCTTGCCATGACCATCGCCAATTGATTTTTGAGTCGATTTTCGAGTCGACTTTCGAGTCAATTCTTGAGTCGACTCAACTATCGCTTTCCCTTCTTTCCAGAGACCATCATGATCCCAGGCACCACCACCATTTCCCTTGCCATCGTCACCTGCTTGCCTAGTCACGCTTTCACCTAACAGCCGCCTGGTTAAACCCTCATTCCCTTTACCATCCGTAGCTGTGTACTTGGCATGCGCAAGAGAGGCAAGGGCCTCGTTTGAGATATCCTTGGCAGGCGGAGGAGAGGCGGGAGGGGCGAGGAGGGGTGGAGAGCGGTGAGGAGGGCCGAGGAGCACGAGGACCGAAAGGGAGCGGTTGCGGGCGTCAGGGGGGATGGGCGGAGCGAGGGGGACGAGAGGCGGGATGACCACGTCGTTACCGGGTGAGGCACAATGCATATCCTGTGCTGGCGGGCAGGGAGGAAGGGGAGAGAGAAAGAAAAAAGATGGGGAGTGTGAGCAGTAGGAGAGGCGGAATGGCCACGTCGAGACCGTGTGAGGCGCAGTGCATTCCCTGTGCTGGCGGGCAGGTAGACAGGGGAGAGGGGGAGAGGGGGAGAGGGGGAGAGGGGGAGAGGGGGAGAGGGGGAGAGGGGGAGAGGGGGAGAGGGGGAGAGGGGAGAGGGGGAGAGGGGGAGAGGGGGAGAGGGGGAAACGGGGAGGTCGGAAGGTGGGGAGTGAGAGTGGGAGGAGAGTCGAGGCTAGGAGTGTGGAAGTGCGGTTGGAGGGCCGAGGGGAGGCTGGTGAGAAACACAGCACCATCAGCACTCACAACCACCTCGTACAATCACCAACCACTCTTACAACCTCATCAATCCCCATCCACTCACCTCATCAATCCCCATCCACTCACCTCATCAATCCCCATCCACTCACCTCATCAATCCCCATCCACTCACCTCATCAATCCCCATCCACTCACCTCATCAATCCCCATCCACTCACCTCATCAATCCCCATCCACTCACCTCATCAATCCCCATCCACTCACCTCATCAATCCCCATCCACTCACCTCATCAATCCCCATCGACCCACCTCATCAATCCCCACAGCTACAGGTTGCTTCTTCCCACCCAGCCTCCCAAAACGCCCCTCCCCCATCCCCAAACCCCCACTCTCTGCCTCGTCCACCCCACCCCGCCTCCTCTCCTTCCTGCCCAACTGCTGCATCCTCTGCTTCTTCCCCCCCACACGGCCCTGCTGCTTCCCATCTCCACCCCTCACCCCTTCCTGCTCCTCCCCCTGCCGTTTCTTCACTGCTAGCGCAGCTTTCAACCGGCCGGCAGCATTTTTCTGTTTGCTGCTGGCCGCGGCGCTCCTTCTGGCAGCAGCGGCAGCGGCGGCGGCGGGGGAGAGGTGGAGGACGGAGCGGAAGAGAAGGTCTGGGTAGGAGGAGGGCTGGAGGGTGAAGAGAGAGCCAAGAAGCAAGGGGTTCACGAAAGGGAGGATGCTGGAAGGGGAGGGAGGGAGGGAGGGAGGGAGGGAGGGAGGGAGGGAGGGAGGGAGGGAGGGAGGGAGGGAGGGAGGGAGGAGAAGCAGCAGTGGCGGCAGCGGGGAAAGGGCAGCGGGGGGGAGAGTAGGGGATGAGGTGGAAGCCTGAGCGGAAAGAGCAGGTCAACTGGGTTAATACCCGAGTCAACCCGGGACATGACACGTACCTGCATTGGCCAAACAGACATGACACGATGTTGATGTGATCGCTGCCCCCAATGCAATTTCTGAGGCACCTCAACAGTCACCTCGAGATTTGATTGGCAGTTACCAGGTAACTTCCGAGTTCAGCCATAACAGTCATCCACATCTGCTGAACGGGTGTGATGCGATGATGAAGTAATTGCTCTTCTCAGTGAGACTTTTGGGGTGCCACAAAGGCTGACAATTACCAGGTAACCCCGCGTCAACACGCAACACGACACTTACCCACATCGGCCATACGGGTGTGATGCAATGATGAAGTGATCGCTGCCCCCACTGCGACGCCAGTAGGGATAGTGTGACTGTAACGAAGGGGCACAGGGACATGTGCAGATAGAAACATGTGGTTTCTGGCAAATAGAACTGCACAAAAACAGGAGAGAAAGGTTCGTGGGAGAAAACAGTTTAAAAAAGCATGAAGCGCATGCTTCTGACAACACGTAACATGTTTAAGGTTGCATCTGAGCAAGAATGTGAAGTCGCGCACACACAAGGATGCAACAAACAAAGCACGCCAAACAAGCACAAACGCAAGAACTTGTGCGTCACAGGTCCTCCCCCTCTCTCATGCACATGAAATAACGCCTCCCCCACATAACGCCCAGTATCAGCCAGCGCCTCTGAATACTCTAACGACAGCTCAAGCCCGTTCTCCCCAGCTGCTCCCCCCTCCCCCTGCTTTCCTCCCCCCCCGCCCCGCTCCGCCTCCCCGCTCACCTGAACATACAATAACGCCTCCCCCACATAACGCCCAGTATCAGCCAGCGCCTCCCAATGCTCTAGCGACAGCTCAAGACCGTTCCCCCCTGCTCCCCCTCCCCCTGCTGCTGCTGCAGCGAGTGCTAGGGAGGGGGCTTGCAGGGAGGGCAGGCGCAGGGCGAGGTGCAGCATGGGCAGCACGGGGAGGAAGAAGAGGGAAGCGGCCTCGGGGTCTACTGTTCGATACACGTTGGAACGCTGCAGGGCTCTGGAGGAGGGGTGGGGGGGGATGAGGAGGAATGATGCAGCACAGAGAGGAAGAAGAGGGAGGCGGCCTCGGGATCCACTGTGCGATACACATTGGAGCGCTGCAGGGCTCTGGAGAAGGGGAGGGCAGGAGGGTGGGAGTGAGGGAGGGCATGCGCAGGGAGAGGTGCAGCACGGGGAGGAAGAAGAAGGAAGCGGCCTCGGGGTCTACTGTGCGGTACACATTGGAGAGCTGCAGAGCCCTGGAAGGGTGAAGGGAAGAGGGAGAGAAGGAGGAGGAGGATGGATGCAGCACAGGGAGGAAGAAGAAGGAAGCGGCCTTAGGGTCTACTGTGCGGTGCACGTTTGAACGCTGCAGGGCTCTGGGAGAGGGGATGGCGGGATAGGGGTAGGGGGGAGGAGGAAAGGAGGGGATATGAAGAGCTGTGCAATCCATGGAAAAGCAGGCTTCAGTTCGACTGTGCGATGCACATTGGAGCGCTGCAGGGCTCTGGCTGGGGTCGGGGAGCAGAGGGGAGGAGGATGAAGGGCAGCATGAGCAGCACAAGGGGGGGAAGAAGAGGGAAGCAGCCTCGGGGTCCACTGTGCGATTCACGTTTGAACGCTGCAGTGCCCTGGAAAGGGAGGAGTGGGGGAGGACGAAGGGGATGCAGCAAGATGCAGCATGGGGAAGGAAGACGAACGAAGCAGCCTCGGGACCCACTGTGCAATGCACGTTGGAGCGCTGCAGGGCTCTGGAAAAGGGAGAAGAGAGAGGGAGATGAGAAGGATGGATGCAGGATGAGAGAGAAGCAGCAGCGGGACCCACTGTGCGATGCACGTTGGAGCGCTGCAGGGCTCTGGAAAAGGGAGAAGAGAGAGGGAGATGAGAAGGATGGATGCAGGATGAGAGAGAAGCAGCAGCGGGACCCACTGTGCGATGCACGTTGGAGCGCTGCAGGGCTCTGGAGAAGGGAGAAGAGAGAGGGAGATGAGAAGGATGGATGCAGGATGAGAGAGAAGCAGCAGCGGGACCCACTGTGCGATGCACGTTGGAGCGCTGCAGGGCCCTGGAGGGGTGAAGGGAGAAGAAGGATGAGAAGGATGGATGCAGCACGGGGAGGACGAAGAGGGATGCGGCCTCGGGGTCCACTGTTCGATACACATTGGAGCGCTGCAGGGCCCTGGAAGGGGAGAGGGGAAGGGAAGGGGGTTAGAGGAGGGAATGACGAGGTGGCGGAGGTACGAATGAAGTGCTGTGCAGATGGAAGTCGAAGAGGTGGTGCGATATTTTGGGCTCCGAGAGGTCAGCGCTGAGGCGTCTGGACGTCTAATCAGGCAGGGTGTAGGCGTGAATCAGGAGAAGGTGGAGAAGAGCTCTTATCTGAAGAGCAGGTTGTCTAGGTGGAATCCGGAAAGGTGGTGTGAGGTGAGGTGAGGTGGTGTGAGGTGAGGCGGTCAGAGAGGTCAACGTTGCGCCGTCGTGAGGGAGAGCTCTTACCTGAAGAGGAGGTTGTCTAGATGGAAGTCGGAGAGGTGGTGCGAGGTGAGGCGGTCTGAAAGGTCAACGTTGAATCGTCTGGGAAGCTCATAGACGTAGATGAAGTGCGCCTGCACGCTCTTGGGCTCCGCCCACCAGCAGTTGGCCGCTGAGTGAATAACCAAACGGGTGGGAAAGTTGGGGGAGTGGGTGAAGAATAAGAGTGTGACAAGCTGTCTGGGTAGCTTGTAGACATAGATGAAGTGTGCACTGCACGCTCTTGGGCTCGGCCCACCAGCAGTTGGCCGCTGAGAGAGGAGAGGAGTGTGAGGAATAACGGCAGGGGAGGGGAGAAGATTACAAGCGATGAACGCTCTTGGGCTCGGCCCACCAGCAGTTGGCCGCTGAGCGGACAAGAAAATGGGGAATAATGGCAGGGGGAAGGGGGGAGAGGTTCACGTTGGCATCGGGTTCAGGAAATGAGGAGCATTGAAGGGCTCACGCATTCTCTCAGGCACTCAGTTGAGTGAAGGACTTACTGAACAATGTAACGAGCGGGGAGGGATGGGGTGCAGGCTGGGGAATAAAGTACTGATAAGTGGAGCCGGGGGATGAATGTGGACCGGGGGACTAGAATACTCAAAAAATGGGTGGCATACCGGAAACCAGCGGTATATGAGGCGTCTCAAAGTGAGACGATATTTGGGGAGCCTCATGAATGGGTGGCGTACCAGAGACAAGCGGTAGGCGATCGCATCCCCATGAACTGTCCCACACGAACAAGTGAATCGCGTAAATCAGGAGAAACGTGGCGAAAGTTGCGATGACTAGATTTCGCCACGACAGCCATCGTATTCTCCGGATCAGATTCCTGGCGAATCTCAGGACGCGAACACTGGTGGGAACCCGCTCGTTGCTTTGTGACACAGTGGGTTCCGCGAAGTCGAGTTGCGACAGCGGAAGCCTCCGCTGACGCAATCGCGATCGTAAAAACTCCATGGCAGCATCTCCTACTGCATCGATTCATGAGCATCTACATAACGAACGCGGACATCGCTCCTACATTTGACAACCATGCTTCAGACCGAATACTCGCTCAGATCGGGTAGTGATCTGTTCTGTTCCCGTGGGGGTTCTTTTTGCCCAGAACTCCACTCTACCCAACCTTTTAAAAAACACACTATACCGCGCTAAAGTGAACTCCGGTTGGGCAGAGATTCGAGGGCAACCTCGAGGGCAGTACCTGCTTTCAACAGTTGCGGACCGTGCTACACCAGAAGAAACCGCTCGATTTGAAGCACAACGAACACGTTGGGCTGGGCAGACCAATCCCAAGGGTGGTGTTTTGCGGCAAACGCGCGGGAAGCGAAAGGTGATTCGGCTGTCAGGTCGCTCATGCGACAGTCATCGCGAGTGCGAATTTTTAAAACTGTCGCGAATGCTTTTGACAGTGTCTCCACCGACCAGCACCACCCAATGAGAGCAAATGAATTTTTCAGCGGAGGTTTCGAGATGGAAGAGGTGCCAACCAATCACAGTTCGAGCGACGAGATGGCCCATCCTCTAGGCTTTTCCAGATCCACATTCTCTCACATTCACATTCTAGTCCGACACTTTCCTTGCTCCATTTCTGTGCTTCTCCAGTCCTCTCATTTTGCCTGTTCCTGATTCAAGTTAGCCTTGAATTTTCCAGCCTCTGCGGAAGGCCTTTACTCTTTGAGCTCAGCCGTCTCTGGGTAGGGACGTCTTTACCGTTCGAGGGCATTAGTGGGTCGCTTCATTGACATTCTACCGGCTCGCCGTTTTAACCAGATTTCATCCGGCAAAAAGCAATACTTCTGTCCATCTCGGCATCTCCGAGATTTACAATCAAATAAGGTCTACTGACAATTTGGGGACCTTGTAACCCTGTAATTCTCTTCCCCTGATAGTATTCTGAAGCAGCATCACCCTGTGCAGCATCGCACCGGATGGCCGTACGACAATGACACAGCTGTAGCAGCTGACTGTGCGTCCGTAGCTGACTGCAGCTGCTCAGTGCGGGAATCGCGTGCTCGTACTTCGTAGTCAGAAATAACCTGATTGTTGATTCGTGAATGATGCTTCAGCCTATTGGACTTGAGTCTGGGAGGATATGAGGAGCCCTGATTGGATGAAATGACTTGGCCGTCCACCATCTCACTTGACCGTACACCATTTCACATGATCCGTACACCTCACATGTCCGCTCACCTTCTCACTTGACGGCCGGCCCTTCGTCCGCAATTCCCCAGCCTTCAAAAGAACTTCGCGATCCATCGCGTGCATCTCAGCCGTCCATCTCCAGAAGTGAATTCTCACCCCCTTGCCTGTGCTCCACCATGCTCCTCGTCTCGTGGCTCAACTCGTTGCGGCGATGCTTCGGCACGCCGTTCCTCATCCTCGTCTTCAGCATCTACTGGGCACAGGTGATATGCCGCAAGGAGTACGAGACAGTTTCCCGCGGGTTTTGATGGATTTCGACGAATTTGACGGATTTTGACGCATTCTGGCACCTATTTTTACTGGTTCAGATGGGTTTCAACGGAATCTGACGGGATTTGAGGGTTTTTTTTACGGGTTATGAGGCGTCACTTAAGCGGCTTCTTCCTTCTCTCTGCCTGTACCGTACGATTCTCACTCACCACTTCACCGTGTTTCAACCCTCCACCACTCATTCGTATCCCCCTCTCCTGGACGGCCGTTAGCATTCCGGTAAAGGGCCATCTCAAGCCGGCCTTCTTTTGTTCCTGCCTCTTTCCCTCCCTTCTTCATCCCTCCACCGTACTACACCCCTCCCCCACTCATTCATACCCCTCAGGGTTTTCGCGCGTTCCCTTGGACGGGCATCAGCATTCTGGTGAAGGATCATCTGAAGCTGGGCCCAGCAGCAGCGCAGCTCATGACCTCCACTGCCTACATGCCGTGGAGCGTGAAGCCATTATATGGGTGAGTGTAGGGTGGGAGAGTGTTGGTGAGAAGCCCTTACATAGGGATAAGCTGAAGACGCTTATATTGAGTCAGCAGCGCAGTTCATGACCTCCACTACCTACATGCCTTGGAGCGTGAAGCCGCTATATGGGTGAGTGGTGTGCGGCGCCCCTGTGTGGTTGTGTTGCGTGATCGTGCGTTAACCTTCTTTATATGGGTGACTGGTCTGTGGCAATTTTGCGTGTTTAATCTCTGGATTGACTCAGCAGCGCAACTCATGACCCCCATCCCCGTTCTCCAGAATCTTGTTGGACTGTGTGCCAAAAAGGGGCCACGCATCCCCCACATCATCATTGCCAACGCCCTCTCACTGCTCTCCTGGCTCGCCCTCCCACTCCCTGCCACCTCCGTCCAACCCCAATCTCCAGGATCCTATCTGACTGTGTGCCTAGAAGGGCGGCCGGCGCATCCCCTACATCGTCATCTCCAACGCCCTCTCACTCCTCTCTCTGTATCTCAACTCACCCCCCACTCGACAGAATCTTATCTGACTGTGTTCCTATAAGGGGCGGACGGCGCATCCCCTACATAATCATCACCAACGCGCTCTCGCTCCTCTCCGTGTATCTCCTTCCCACTCTCTGCGCCTTCCATTCACCCCCACTCCACAGGATCCTATCTGACTGTGTGCCTATAAGGGGCGGCCGCCGTATCCCCTACATAATCATCGCCAACGCGCTCTCTCTACTCTCCTGGCTCGCCCTCGCGTTTGTGCCGCGTCTCGCCGCCTCTCCCACGCCCTTCACTCTGCTGCTCGTGCTGCAGAACGTGGGTGCAGCCATGGCTGACGTGGTGATTGATGCCATGGTGGCAGAAGCGGCCAAAGGGGACAAGTGAGTGCTTTCTATGGAGGATACAGACTCGAATTGGTACACAAACCCCCAAACCCTGCTCAAGACCCGAATCTTAAATCCCTGGAAACGGGTCCTTCTAGGTGTGCTGCTGCTGCCTCCCCCGCGCCCTTCACGCTGCTGCTCGTGCTGCAGAACGTGGGGGCAGCCATGGCTGACGTGGTCATTGATGCCATGGTGGCAGAAGCAGCGAAAGGAGACAAGTGAGTGCTTTCTATGGAAGGTACAAATTCGAATTGTTACGCAAAACCCCAAAACCTGCTCTAAACCCGAAACTCTAAGCCCTGGAAACGGTACTCTCTAGGTGCGCTGCTGCTGCTGCTGCTGCTGCCTCCCCCGCGCCCTTCACGCTGCTGCTCGTGCTGCAGAACGTGGGGGCAGCCATGGCTGACGTGGTCATTGATGCCATGGTGGCAGAAGCGGCAAAGGGGGACAAGTGAGTGCAGTGAGAGTGAGTACTGTAGTTGTGATATGATCACACGCTCAATTCGTGATGCTGCAGAACGTGGGGGCGGCAATGGCTGACGTGGTGATTGATGCCATGGTGGCAGAAGCAGTGAAAGGAGACAAGTGAGTGCTGTCACTCTAGGAGATACCCACACAATCGAATCGGTACACTAACCACTGAACTCTTCTCTAAACCCAAACCCTAGACCCTGGAGACGGTACTCTCTAGGTGTGCTGCTGCCACCTCCCCCGCGCCCTTCACGCTGCTGCTCGTGCTGGGCTGACGTGGGGATTGATGCCATGGTGGCAGAAGCGGCCAATGGGGACAAGTCAAATGAGTGAGTGAAGCGAGTGCTGCACTGAATTTCCACTAGGGAGTTCTCTGTTGCGAGTTCGCTGTGAAACCTGCCTGCCTCCTCGTTGCCCCCTATGTGCAGGGAGAGCTACGCAGGAGACCTACAGTCTCTCTCCTGGTTCTCCATATCAGCAGGCGGCGTGGTGGGGAGCCTCCTTTGCAACTTGTTGGTTCATCGCTCATTCCCCCCTTCTCTGTGATGTGATCTTCCTGTGTTGCAGGCGACTTGCAGTCTCTCTCCTGGTTCTACATATCAGCAGGCGGCGTGGTGGGGAGCCTCCTTTGCAACTTGTTGGTTCATCGCTCATTCCCCCCTTCTCTGTGATGTGATCTTCCTGTGTTGCAGGCGACTTGCAGTCTCTCTCCTGGTTCTACATATCAGCTGGCGGCGTGGTGGGGAGCCTCCTTTGCAACTTGTTGGTTCATCGCTCATTCCCCCCTTCTCTGTGATGTGATCTTCCTGTGTTGCAGGCGACTTGCAGTCTCTCTCCTGGTTCTACATATCAGCAGGCGGCGTGGTGGGGAGCCTCCTTTGCAACTTGTTGGTTCATCGCTCATTCCCCCCTTCTCTGTGATGTGATCTTCCTGTGTTGCAGGCGACTTGCAGTCTCTCTCCTGGTTCTACATATCAGCAGGCGGCGTGGTGGGGAGCCTCCTTTGCAACTTGTTGGTCATCGCTCATTCCCCCCTTCTCTGTGATGTGATCTTCCTGTGTTGCAGGCGACTTGCAGTCTCTCTCCTGGTTCTACATATCAGCAGGCGGCGTGGTGGGGAGCCTCCTTTGCAACTTGTTGGTTCATCGCTCATTCCCCCCTTCTCTGTGATGTGATCTTCCTGTGTTGCAGGCGACTTGCAGTCTCTCTCCTGGTTCTACATATCAGCAGGCGGCGTGGTGGGGAGCCTCCTTTGCAACTTGTTGGTCATCGCTCATTCCCCCCTTCTCTGTGATGTGATCTTCCTGTGTTGCAGGCGACTTGCAGTCTCTCTCCTGGTTCTACATATCAGCAGGCGGCGTGGTGGGGAGCCTCCTTTGCAACTTGTTGGTTCATCGCTCATTCCCCCCTTCTCTGTGATGTGATCTTCCTGTGTTGCAGGCGACTTGCAGTCTCTCTCCTGGTTCTACATATCAGCTGGCGGCGTGGTGGGGAGCCTCCTTTGCAACTTGTTGGTTCATCGCTCATTCCCCCCTTCTCTGTGATGTGATCTTCCTGTGTTGCAGGCGACTTGCAGTCTCTCTCCTGGTTCTACATATCAGCAGGCGGCGTGGTGGGGAGCCTCCTTTGCAACTTATTGGTTCATCGCTCATTCCCCCTTCTCTGTGATGTGATCTTCCTGTGTTGCAGGCGACTTGCAGTCCCTCTCCTGGTTCTCCATGGCTGCGGGCAGCGCGGGTGGGGAGCCTCCTTTGCAACTTGTTGGTTCATCGCTCATTCCCCCCTTCTCTGTGATGTGATCTTCCTGTGTTGCAGGCGACTTGCAGTCTCTCTCCTGGTTCTACATATCAGCAGGCGGCGTGGTGGGGAGCCTCCTTTGCAACTTGTTGGTTCATCGCTCATTCCCCCCTTCTCTGTGATGTGATCTTCCTGTGTTGCAGGCGACTTGCAGTCCCTCTCCTGGTTCTCCATGGCTGCGGGCAGCGCGGGTGGGGAGCCTCCTTTGCAACTTATTGGTTCATCACTCATGTCCCCCAGCCTGTGTGATGTGATCTTCCTGTCTGCAGGGAGAGGTACGCAGGAGACCTACAGTCCCTCTCCTGGTTCTCCATGGCTGCAGGCGGCGTGGTGGGGAGCCTCCTAAAGGTGGTGTCTGGTGGCTCACTCCTGGTAACCTGTGTCTTCCTCGCCTTGCCTCCTCCCATGTGCCCCCTGTGTGCAGGGAAAGGTATGCAGGCGATCTACAGTCCCTCTCCTGGTTCTCCATGGCAGCAGGCGGCGTGGTGGGGAGCCTGCTAGGCGGCCCGGCTTTAAAGACGCTGCAGCCCCACGGCATGTTTGCACTCTTCGCGTTCTTCCCCCTATCGCAGCTCGCCATGTGTCTTATGTCGTCTGAGAGGAAGCTTACAGGGGGGACGGGAAGCGGGGAGGAGGACGAGGGGGTGGATGAGGAGGAAGAGGAGGGGGTGGAGGAGGAGGAAAGGAAGGGGAGGGAAGGAGAGGGCGTGAGGGAGAGTGGGAAGGGGGCTGAAGCGAGAGAGGGAGATGGGAAAGAGAGGAGCGGTGTGAGTGGTGGTACAGCAGCAACACCATCCTATTTCCAAACTGAACAGGCCTCTGAAGGGACCTGTGGCTCTGCTGCTGATTCCACTGTTACAGATGATTGTGTTACAAATGGCGCTGGTGCTGGTGCAGGTCCGCATGGTGGTAACCGCATGAACAGTGGCAGCGAGAGCGAGGAGAGCGGCGAGTTGGGGGAGTGGGAGAAGGTGGCCTCAGAGCAGCAGGAGGAGGGGGGGGTGGAGAGCGAAGGGAAGGCAAGAGGTTGTGATCTTCTAGGACCCTCAAGAGGAGTTTCTGATGACATGTCTCAAGAGGCTGTAGGGGCGAGGGAAAAAGTTGGAGAGGAAGGAAAAGATGGGGACGAGGTGGGTGGAGGAAAGGAGGAGGGTGGGGGGAAGACGAGTGCGGCAGGAGGGCAGAGCACAGGGCTGAGACAACGGAGAGGCAAAGAAGGGGGCGAGGGGGGAGGAGGGAAGGGAGACACATCTGAGATGGGAGGGGTGGAGGGAGCAGAGGAAGCGAGGAGGAGGAGAAGTGAGGAGACAAGGAGAAGTAGACGGAAGGGAGCAGGGGGGTTGGGGAGGAAGGTGCTCAATCTGGTGACGGCTCTGTGGCATGCTGTCATGTCTCCCGACATTTTCTGGTGAGTGCGTTTTCTGGTGAGGAGACAAGGAGAAGTAGAAGGAAGGGAGCATTGGGGTTGGGGAGGAAGGTGCTCAATCGATGATGGCTCTGTGGCAAGCTGTCATGTCTCCAGACATATTCTGGTGAGTGCGTTTTCTGGTGAGGGCACATTCTAGTGAGGAGGACTCGTTTGGGTGTGGTTTGACTCGTTATGAGAACATGCTCTTATCGTATTACTTTGTGTACTGTGAGGCCTTAAAGAAGTTGCTGTGAGAGTGTGCTCTTGTTGCACTAAAATGGTGAATTGTCTTAACACAAACGCCATAGGAAATGACTTCGTTCATTTACTCGCACTTTCGTCAACACATGCCAATCGAAATGCATCTAGTTACCTTAAAAGGCCCCCCTTTTGGATCACATTGCCTCAAGCACTCCCTTTTCAAATTGTACCTCTCATTTACCCGCTCGATCCTCTCTCTACTCCTTACTCTCATTCTTTTCCATGTTTTCTTCTTCCTTTCGCTCCTCTCTCCCCACTCCCCAGGCCTATGGCATGGTTCATGACATCCTGTGCAGTAGTCCCCACCCTAACCTCCTCACTCTTCTACTCTTACACAACCCCTTCCTCCTACACCCCACCTTCACTTCTCCACTCCCGCCCCTCCTTCACATCTTCTCCCGTCCCTCCACTGTCCTTCCATTTCTCTCTCGCCCCTTCCCCCCAGGCCAATGGCATGGTTCATGTCGTCATGTGCAGTCGTCCCCACCCTCTCCTCCTCACTCTTCTATTTCCACACCAACCATCTGCACCTCGACCCTTCTTTCCTCGGATCCACCAAGGTAAACAATGAGCAAACACACAGGGAGAGAGTCTTCAAGCAAATTGACTCAGAAATATACAACTCCACCCGTCATACCTCCTCGCCTCCAACAAGGTAAACGACAAACCGGCACACAGGGTGTGAGAATTCTCAAAGCAGATTGTGCCAGGAGTCTAAAAACAAACCATCTGCACCTTGATCCTTTCTTCCTCGCGTCCGCCAAGTTACAGAACACAATGTTAGGAAACGTCTCAAAACACAACGCAACACAGGTTTGACTTATTCTGCCTCAACACCTTTCCCAATCCCTCCCTGCCGCACCCCACCCTCCTTGACCCCTTTATGAAACCTTAACCCAAGGTCATCGGCTGGGCGGGCCTCATGCTGGGGACTCTGCTCTACAACACGCGGCTCAAATACGTCCCGATTCGAAGAATATTCATGTGAGTGTACCTTCGTCGGATGGTCCTGTGGAAAAGCAACCAACAATTACGGTCTTGTAACCCCTACGGTACCCCCGTCATACCCACCGTCGTACATCATTCCACTCCCCTGCTTCCGAAACCCTCGAAATGAAACCCTGAAATGCAGGTGGGTGCACATTCTTATGTCCCTCTGCACAGTCGCCAACACCCTACTGTCCTCCCGTCTCAACCTGAGGCTCTTTCCCTCTCCTGCGAATTCCTAAATCTCAATTCTCAACCCCTAATCTCCCATCACAGGTGGGTGCACATTTCAATGGCACTGTGCACAATTGCCAACGCGCTCCTCACCTCCCACCTCAACCCGAGGCTCTTTCCCTCTCATGCAAACTCCTAAACACCAAATCTCAACCCTAACCCCCCGTGCCAGGTGGGTGCACATTGCAATGGCAGTTTGCACAATCGCCGACTCCCTACTCACCTCCCACCTCAGCCTGAGGCTCTTTCCCTCTCATGCAAACTCCTGAACCCCAAATCTTAACCCTAAATCCCCGTGCCAGGTGGGTGCACATTTCAATGGCTTTGTGCACGATCGCTGACACGCTCCTCACCTCGCGCCTCAACCTGAGGCTTGGCATCCCAGACACAGTGTTTCTGCTGGGCTCCGCTGCTGTTTCCGATGCAGTCAACCAGTTCAAGTGAGTAGGATTGGGGTCAACTGACTGAAGCTAGGAAGGAGAGGGGGAAGGGGGAGAGGGGGATAGTGGCATCCCTGATACTGTCTTCCTGCTGGGCTCTGCCGCTGTTTCCGATGCAGTGAACCAGTTCAAGTGAGTAGGATTAGAGTCTTAGGAATGAGAGGGGGAAGGGGGAAAGGGGAATAGTGGCCATTCCTCATGCTCTCTGCAAGCCTGTGTCCTTCGGGGATAGAAGGCACACTCTTTGACCTCTACAGGTCTGTGTCCCTCCATTCCCACCCCTCCTCCTTTCCCCCTACCTCTCCTCCATTCCTTCACCTCCCATCCAGGTTCATGCCATTCCTCGTGCTCTCCGCCCGCCTGTGCCCGCCGGGGATAGAGGGAACGCTCTTCGCCCTCTTCATGTCGGCATACAACTTTGGCAACACACTCAGCGGCTACATGGGCGCCACGCTCGCCACGCGGCTTGGAATCACCGCCACGTCATTCGACAACCTGACACTTGGCGTCACAATACAGGCCGCTTGCACGTTGCTGCCAATCCTGTTCCTCCGCTGTGTACCGGCCAACATGACTGGTGAGCGTCGTGTGTTTGCTTGTTTTGGGATACCTCAGAAATAGAGCACGCTGCTGCAGACCCTGTTCCTCCGCCATGCGTGCTGGCCACCATGACTCGTGAGCGATGTGTTGTATCATGTGTTAGTGTGCGTGTGTGTGTGTGTTTTGAAGTATGTGTTGGGTCTTGGTTGAACACGCCTGCCAACAGCATGCTGTGATGAACCTTATGACCCTGTGAATCTGCAGCACAAGAGTCCCGTCGTACCAACACTTAACCACATTCCATTTCTTCAAGTGCTAGATGGTGTTTCTCTTGTTGGCCTTTTTCCTTGTGTCGCCTCCTGATTCTGCCAGGTGTTGGGGACGAAGGGAAGCAAGCAGTACGTGTGGTGGAGGACCAGCGGGACGAGAAGAAGGGTGTCAGGAAGCCTAAAGAGTCGAAACGGCTGAAAAGGGCATAGGGTGCACTGCGTCTATGCATTCGCCTTCATATATTTAATATGAATGGAAAATCTAGGTTTGTTATGTTCCTTATGAGCTTGGATGATTTTTGCTGTACTATGAGACACTCCATAAGGAATCCTTCTTGCAACAGATTGTTTGTATGAGAATGAACGATAAATCTGTATGAGAATGAAAACAGCACTGAGAAATACAACCGTGCTGGTGGAAAGGTTGTTGGCACACTGTAATTGGAGGCTCGGAAGTTCCGAACTCGTATTGAAAGGACGGTCAGGCTCGACTGACATGGCATGAGGTTCTGAGCTGGGCTGGGCTGGGCAGGGTGTTTACAGCTTCGTAAGATACGCCACCATACTCCACCACCACCATATCTGCGAAGCCGCGTTACAGTAAAAAACACAGAAAATATGACAAAAACACAGAAAATATGCCAGCCATCACAGAAAATATTTCCAATGGTACCTCAACCAGGTGAGCAAACACTGAAAATGTGACTTACAGTACAGTAGTACAGTATTAATCCCCCTTGCGGACCACGAGAAATTCTGAAGATTACACAATGCGGACCCCTTGTGTACAATGGCATCTCCAAGCTGTCTGCTGCTTGCAAAATCCACACTGTTTCCAAGGAAATCGGCACTGCTTGTGAGCATTCGCGGAGGTGGTGAGGTGTCGCCTTCTGGCATATTGGATAGGGTCGCTACGTCCCAATGGGCGTTAGGAACTGTTCACGGATGTACAGTCGATGCTCAGCCTATCACAAAAGATTGCTTAATACAATTAGAAAATCAGTCACTCGCGAACGTTTTGCCTGTGAGTGGTGATTGTGCTGATTTCAGGGTACAGTCACCAAGTCGAGGAAGAAAAACATCTACAGTTCATAAACAACAACGGCTGCCTGTCATCAGAATTGTTTACCTGGTTACGAACTTAAACCCCTAGACTCGTTTCACATTCCAATTTCATTTTACAATCACATTTTTGCCCGTGGCGACAAGGGCGAATGTGGCGAAATGTTCAAAACTAATTTATCTCACATGCCGCCCGCCTACCTGGTGTTCTTGAAACCGACTGTATTCCCAAGCTTTCCCTGCCCCACGTTTATTGACGGGAACTTTTTCTGGTTGGCCATGTTCGTCTGATCTGAGGGCTTCGTTCAAAACAGTGGCAGGCTTTGCTCTCCCGTGCGCCTTGATTGACTCATTCGACAAACTTTTCCTTCTGCAGGAATGATGCACTCCTTATTATCACTCGTTCGTGTGGCGGAATACTCATGAGTGATCATAAGCGGGTTCAAATGCGTCGCTGTGCCAACATCTCAATTGAACTGAAAGCGTGTGTTATTCACGTAAGGCACAGAGACCTTGTTCCATATTTCGTCCAAAGTGTCGATCTTTTAACAGCCTTGGGAAAACGACTCCTAAGCAGGTGTCGTATCGAGGATGTTTTAATATTCAGAAACTGCCATGCCACCCTTAATACATTTTGCAATCACGAACTTGGAACGCGTCCGAAGTGCTTTCATGAACACAGCATAAAGCCATTTTTCTGGGGATTCTCAGACACACACGTGGAGCAGGTGTAAGGGAGATAAGGACCGCGACGCACGCCAGTAAGAGTAGAGGAAGTAGGAAAATAAGGCAGGCATACCTCGAACCTCATCCGAACATTCGTTTCGCGGAATACTAGGTCCTCACATTTGTTTTCAAATCTTAATACGAAAAATGCCATTCAGATTAAAACAAAAACCTCCAGGCGAAGCCGACGAAGCGACTTCTCGGGGCGTCGAAAACGATGGCGAAAACGCGGCGCCGCGCGAGAGTTTCGACCTCGTCGCATCCGCTGACGCGTGGCAAGTTATGGGACCCACTACCAGCGCCACCGCCGCTGGCGGCGTCGGTACCGGAAACCCCGAGAGCGTCAGTGGCGGCGGCGCGGGAAGTACTACCGGCGCGACCGACAGTGGTGAATGGCGGGCGGGAAGCGGGGAAGGCGCCGCCGTGATTCACGGCGGAGCTGTCGGGTTCGATAGCCCTGGCGCGTCTTCCGGCGCCACGTGGAACGTCGATCACGGAAGCGGACGCGGCCTCCCCGCGAGTGCCGGCGGAGATGGCGCCGCAAAGTGCGGCGAGGAGACGGGAGAGATGGGCCGAGCGTTGCGGCCAAACTTATCTGGTTTAAACTCTGAGGGAACGAAGCAGACGTTGGAAATTATGCTAGAGGATGGGTTGCAAATGACGGTGGAGGTTGACTCTGGCGAACGGCTTCTTAACGAGTTGGGATACAAACAGGAATTGCGACGGCGGCTGGTGAGTGGCGCGGTTTCGAGGGCGGAATTTGAAAAATTTTCGAGAGTTGCCGTGAATTACGCTGCTGGGAAGCCTGATAGATAGGCCGTAGTAGTACACTCAGAGTTTCGGTCTCAAACATAAAGGGACCACAGCATTCGGAACCCACGGGTCGAAATTTTCAGCACCTCGTGATTCTAAAGCGGTTCGCCGTCGTTAATCGGATCGCGGTCCCCAGACGACACAAGCTACAGTATTTGACAAAAACGTCGCTTACAAAAGCTACAGGTCTTGAATTTTGCCATCATTTCTCCATGACGGGAGTCTCTTCTATTTCCCTCCTTGACTTCCCCCCCGCATTCCCCACTTCACTTCGACACCCATGCCTGTCTCGTTGGAATCACAAGACGAGCAAATTCCCATTTGGCCGCCTCGTTACTCGCCGTTCAAGCAGACTCCATGTTTCCTCGTGTCGAGTCTAGGCGAAGAGAAGTACTCGCTTCGTTTCTCCAGCCCCCCTCCCCCGTTCCCCTTCTCCTCCTCCACCCCACAAACTCCCCCTCTTTTCCCACTCCGGTCACACCCGTAGACCATCCCCCTTCCCCCATCCCTCCGCCCCACCACACCCCCTGGCCTACACGATATTCTTTTCAAGTTTACCCCCTTCGCCGTGGCTCGCTGGGGTCAAATGTTGTTTTTACCCTCTTCCCCCTCCTCCCCTCCCTCCTCCCTCCTCCCCCGTCTCCCCGTCCCCCTTTCCCCCTTCCCAATCCCCCCTCCTCCCTCCTCCTCCCCCGACCCCCCCCTGCACAGAGTTTCTTTGAGGTATTTTCCATCGGCCTCTCTATAGTCACCTTCTACGCAGGAACAGTGCCCTTCTACTCGTGAGTGCCCCTCATAGCAGGAAACGCGTTTCCGAGTTCCCCACATCCCTCATAATATCCTCTGGTAGCTCTTGTGTTTTCTAGTAGGCTTGGTACTATCCTCTGTATACCCCTGTCTCAAGCTCCCCTCCTGCCTATTTCCCTTTCTCTCTCTCCCCCTTCTCTGCCCTTACCATTTCAAGACTGAAAGGCACTCCCTTAGCCACTGGTGTGGTGCTGGTGATATCTTACCCTCCTTGTTCTCTCTCTCCCCACTCCACCCCACTCTGCGCCGTTCATTTCAAGATTGACCTTCTTGAACGGCGGCCCCGTGACTCTGCTGTGGTACTTGAATCTCAACATCCTTTCTCTCTCTCTCCCCTCCCCTTACAAATTCAAGTCTGACCTTCTTGAACGGCGGTCCAGTGGCGCTGGTGTGGTACTGGTGGATAACCGCCTTCTTCACTCACCTCGTCGCTCTCTCCTTTGCTGAAATCTCCTCAGCATTCCCGGTACGTCCCTTTCCGTGTGCCTCAGCCTTCCCTGTACATCCCTTTATATTCCATTAGCATCAAGCATTCCTGTACGCCCCGCCCCCCCTCCCCTCCCCTCCCCTCCCCTCCCATCCCCCTCCCTCTCCCACCTCCCTTTGCTGTGAGCGCCGCCACCAACCTCCTCAGTACCCCCCCTCACTATTTGTGCTTCTGCCGTTTTATACGCCCCACCACGCCCCACCACGTCCCACCTCGCCCGACCACGTCCCACCACGCCCCACCACGCCCCACCATATGCTTTCCTGCATCTCCTCCAAGTGTGGTTCTCGTTGAAGTGTCTCGTTTGCTCGTGTCAAACTACTTTTGAGGTGCCTCAAATTATCTGTGTTTGACACGTTTGTTCATGAACCATTTTGAGGCGCAGCGCCTAAAATATAGACTTTGAACATAACGATTCGTCGACCCACCCACACACAGCGTTTTCTCAACCTTCCCACACCCCACCACTGCCCACCTCACTCCGTGATCTTTCCCTCCCCTAAACTCCGTTCTCACTTCCCCTTTTTTTCCTGCTCCCTCTAACCTCCCCGTCGTCCCCTTCCCTCCCCCCCCCGCCCGCAAGTCAGATCTCGGGGTCGCTCTTCCTCACCCCTCTCCCCTCCCCGTCGTCCCCTTCCCTCCCCCCCCCGCCCGCAAGTCAGATCTCGGGGTCGCTCTACTTCTGGGCGGCAGCTCTCGCCGGTCCAAAGCACGGCCCCTTTGCCGCCTGGATCACCGTGAGGGCCCTTCTCCCCCTCACCACCCTTCATACCCTCCTTCCCTTTGCCGCCTGGGACACTGTGAGTGCCTTTCTCCCGCTTCCCTCGATTCTCTTCTTGCCTGGATCACCGTGAGTGCCCTTTCAACCTCAACACCCTTCATCTCTTCCCTCCCTTTGCCGCCTGGATCACCGTAAGGGCCCTTCCCTGTCACTCTCTCTCCCTTTGCCGCCTGAATCACGGTGAGAGTCCCTCCTCCCTCTAAGGGCCGTTCTCCCCCTCAGCACCCTTCATGCTCCCTTAACCGCCTGGATCACCGTGAGTGCACTTTCCCTCTCTGCACCTTTCATTCATTCCCTCCCCTTCGCCAACTGAATCACCGTGAGTGCCCTTTCCCTCTCTGCACCTTTCATTCATTCCCTCCCCTTCGCCAACTGAATCACCGTGAGTGCCCTTTCCCTCTCTGCACCTTTCATTCATTCCCTCCCCTTCGCCAACTGAATCACCGTGAGTGCCCTTTCCCTCTCTGCACCTTTCATTCATTCCCTCCCCTTCGCCAACTGAATCACCGTGAGTGTCCCTCCTCCCCCTAAGGG